CCTGAGGGGACGGGGAGAGGGCGAGGGACAGGACACAGGAATGGCTCCAAAGGGAGCGAGGGCAGCGGGAAATTGGGAAGAAATTCCCCCTTTGAGCGTGGAGAGGCCTTGGCACTGGGCGCCCAGAGAAGCTCTGGTTGTCCCATCTCCGGCAGTGTCCAAGGCCAGATTGGAAGGGCTTGGAGCAGCCTGGGGTAGGGGAAGATGTCCCTGCCCACGGCAGGGGGATTATTGGATGGGCTTTAATGTCCCTTCTACCCAAACCAGGTGTCTGTGACAGGGCTGGGGCACTTTTGGGGGGCTGCAGGTTTCCAGCACAACCTCCCTCCCCTGGTACCCCCCATTTGGGGTCTGGGCTCCTCAGCCCCAGGGGAGAAAAACAAAAGTAACCACACACAAAGCACCACCAACAGCCATTGCCCATGGTCTTTATTATTATTTTTTTTTCCAGAAAAGAAAAAAAACCCCACATTTTACACAGTTGGTACAAAACACAAAAATAAAATGAACAGAGGGGGGAAAACCTGCAGCAGCAGCAGGAACCGAGGATCTCGCTGCAGGGACTCCGACAGAAAATGTCTTTGGGAAGTGTGAGTAACTGGCTCAGGGGTCACCCTGAGCTCCCCCACACACACAGCGACCCCAGTTATCCCCTCCCTCCCACCCACTCCATAAAACTTCACGGGTTTGACACGAACGCTTTGGTTGCTAGCAGTAAACATGGATTACATTCTTCCGTCTCCTCGTGGACATTTTTGGGACTCAGGGCTCTTTTGCCCCAGGGTAGACACCCCCCTCGTGAGGGGCATCTTTGTTTTATTTCTCATACATTCAAACACTCCCGTGTGACAGCAGGACCCTGAGCGTGCCCCATCCTCCCCGGCTGTCCCCTCATGCATAGTGCCCGTGGGCAGGGTGGGCCATGATGCAGCAATTTAGTTAATTATTGTCAACATAAGGGAAGAACCACAATTTCTATCCCACCTCCTCCAGTGTGGCTTCCCACCACAGATAAAAATCCCTGTTTTCTTAGATCCCAGCACCCTGGGGGAAACCTGAGTCATTCCCTATTTGCTTCAGCCCAGGACAGGGATGGTTACAGAGCTCCCACCTGGCAGCTCTGTGTGGGAGAGCAGATCCATCTCCCTGCTCCATAACCTATTAGATGCTTTGGATATTTTCCTTTTTGTTTTTCCTTTTTTTTTTTCTTTTTTTTTTTTTCCCTCTTATTTTTGTAAACAATAATCAAGGAGAATACTGAGAGAAAGTGGAAAGATTTACAGAGGTATTTACACACACTAGACATCTGGCAGAGAAATCACCAAACCATTAAAGGAGGAGCAGCGGGGGAAGGTCCTACATGATTCTTGAGGACAGACAGGAATTGAGGGGGCAGAAACAGGAATTGAGGGGGCAGAGAGGAATTGAGGGGGCAGAGAGGAATTGAGGGGGCAGAGACAGGAATTGAGGGGGCAGAGACAGGAATTGAGGGGGCAGAGATAGGGATGAAGGGGGCAAAGACAGGGATGAAGGGGGCAGAGACAGGATGAAGGGGGCAGAGACAGGGATGAAGGGGGCAGAGACAGGGATGAAGGGGGCAGAGACAGGGATGAAGGGAGCAGAGACAGGGATGAAGGGGGCAGAGACAGGGATGAAGGGGGCAGCAGTTTCCTTGGCACAGCCGAGGTGCCAGGGGGAGGCCAAGAGCCACCCCTCACCCAAGGCTCTATTGCATTTACCCCATCAGTCTAAAGCTGTTTTCCTGAAGCAGTTTTGTACAGATCCTGTTGCCAGTCAAGAACTAAAAGTCCTTCCCCCCTGCCCCAAGAAGAGACCACCACCTCACCCTAAACTACTGGAGCAGGGCAGGGAGCAGCTGAGGCTCTCTATCCCCCTCAATGCCCATGTGCTGGGGGTCACTGGGCTCCAGTGAGTCCCCCCAGAGTCCCCCATCCCTGGGGATGGAGTCGGTGCTCCTGTCTGATCCCGCCCTGCCCCACATCTAAACCTATTGCTACTAAATACCAGCAGGAAATGTGCCCAGCACAGCCAGACACCTTCCCTGGGAAGGCTGCAGCCACCCCCCTGGGCTGCAAGAGGGGTGTTCATACCCCAAAACCTGGGACCCAGGGCTTCCCCCAGCCATGGTGAGTCAGCATTTGAGGAAAGCTAGGAAGGAGAAAAAGATGGAGCAGTTGCACCTCCCTCGGAATCAGAACTGGGTTCCCCATCCGTGGAGGCGATGGACAACCAGCCTTGAGCTCAAGGGTGAGGAAGGGCAGGGGTTGAGGGTAACCCTGCCTCCCAACACTCTCTGGTCACTGTCTGCTCTTCCTCTGTCCCCCTGGATGGGGCTGGGACCCACATCCTGACCCCCAGCCACACGGCACCAGCCTGCTGGGAGCCTGTGTGACATCCCAGCCCACGGGCAGAAGGAGGACACAGGCACAGGTGCACTGGAGGGTTCCCATCTCTCCCAACAGGAGAGAGAAACAGAGGACAGTCCTCAAAAGCCACCAGGCTGGGAGAAATTCAGGACCTGGGGAGCCAACACAGGCTCTTAGCACCTATTCCCTGCCCATGGCTCTGCCTGGCTTCTCCATCCCCACACACAGACCCACAGAGCCAAATGCCTCCATCAGTGCACAGGGAAGGGAAAGAAACCATTAAAATATAGTTCAAAAGAAAAAAAAAAAAATCCCAAACATACCAAAAAACACATTTGAAAAGCTTGACAACACATCAGCCCACCTAGCAAACATCCAGTGAGGTAGATCTACACTTCCAATACAAACTTCATAATTTCTTTGTGCTGTTAAAAAACACCCTCCTCTCTGTCCAGCACTGGGCTACAGAGGCATTTTATCCCTGAGATTGCTCGAATACCTGAGAATAAGTTGCAGGAATTATGTCCTTTCTCTCCTTTTTTTTTTTTTTTTTTTTTTCCCTTTTCTTTTCTTAAAGATTAAAATATACAAAAATACAAACCCAGAATATTTATATTAAAAAAAAAAATAAAAAAAAGAAAAAAAAAAGAACAACAAACCCAAAACAAAGACGACAAACAAACCCAAAGATACGTCATTCACGCACGTCCTAGTGCAGCTTTCACTTGGCCTTGGCTTCGGCACGGCCGGGGGGCTCCCCGGGAGAAGGGGGGTCCACCGGGGCCAATAAATAAAGGCAAGACTTGGGAAGGGCTGTGGGGAGGGGGAACAGCAGCCACTAACCCGGGACAGGCTGGTCCCCTGTCCCTGGGGAGGCTCAGCCCCACAGCCAGCGGGTTCTGCAGCGTGGGGAGGGCAGGAGGAGCGGAGGTGTTTTCCCAGCTCCGCGTTCTGGAGGCTGGGAGAAGCCCGAGAGGGAAAAGCTGGCTGCGTCAAACACCTCGTGCCCTCTGGGCTGGCACCTGGGGAGGATGAGGGGGGAATAAAAGTGGTTTTCTTTTGGCTTGCTCTCCCCAAGGCTGCAGCTCGCAGCACACAAACAGGGGGTGTTAGTCCAGCCCCGAGAGATGATCCATTTCCTCCCAGACTGAGCCCAAATCTGGGCTCTGCTGCTGGCAGCAATGGAGCAACCATGGAAAAACTGTAAATCCTCACACCCCCCTGGAAGTGAGAAGCCAGGAGGAGCAGAGGGACCCGCGGGACCGGCCCACGGGGGTGTCCCTGGTGCTCCACAGGCAGCCTTTCCCTCAGCCTCGCTCCCGGGGCAGGCAGGGGAGCGGCTCCAGCTCATCCAGCCCGTGCCGGAGCCTGTTTGAAGCTCAAGAGAACAAGGAGCCGTCAAGAGAACAATCTCCTCCCTGGGATGCCCCTCTGCTCCTCCTCCCCAAGGCACGACCGCCTGGCTTAACTTAGGGAAAGAATAAAGATTCATCAAATTTGGGGTTTCTAGCGGGAAGAAGCGTGTTGGGTGCTGCCTTCCCCCGTTTTGGAGCAAGCCATCCTGATACTAACAGGGCTTTTCCCAGCCTGGGCCTGGGGGAAAGGTCTGTGCAGGGACACCAGGTCCCCGCTGCCAGCGCTGCCACCTGCCCTCCCCAGCCCTTCCCCTCCGAGCCCCGCGGCTGCCCCTCGCCTTGCCAAAGCCTTCTCATCCCGGTGGAATCCCCCTCTCCCTGCCACCCACCATCATTCCCGGCTCTCGGGGAGGAGGGCCGAGCTGTGCATGTCCTCCTCCTCTCGGAAGTAGGCGGGCTTTCCCTGCGAGCTGGGGGACTGCTGTGCTTTCGCGGGGCAGTTGGCGACCATGTGGCTGATGCTCTGGCAGAAGTGGCACTTCTTGGGCTGCGGCGGGAGCTTGCACTCCTTGGCGTGGTGGTCCAGCCCGCCACAGTTGTAGCACCTGTGGGAGGGGAGGAGAAATAAAATGAGGCGGAAGGATGCTGTGACCGTGCCTGGGACCCGTTTGGTTTCTCAGCCAGAGCTGGGCTCGGCTTTTAGGGTGGGTGGTGGCCCCAGGGTTGGTGCTGCTGGTACCCAGGAGATGGCAGCAAACCACTGCACTGAAGCCACACAGCGGGGACAAAATCGGGATGTTGGGGGTTGCACCCCCATCTCTGGCTCCATCAGTGTCCTGGCTGCCGTGTCTCCAGAGCCCACTCCCGGGAACAGGCACAGGAACAACTGACACCCCCAGTGGTGGCTTCTCACAGGGCTGTGCCTGCCAGCACTCGTCCCATGGGTGCCACCCTCACACCGGAGCCGTGCGAGCAGAGGGACCTGCCTTGTGTCCATTTTAAATCCTGCATCCACGCGGGATGGCCACAACCCTTTTCTCTTCCTTCTTCCTTCACAATTCCTGATTAATTTTAAAACCCGTTTATGAGAACAGCTGACTGGGGTGGAACAGCATCCAGCCCACTGGGAAAAGTGGGATGAGGCAGCTGGGATGGAGAGGACAGGAGAGGATGGCAGGACTGGCCAGGAACTTGCCCCGGGGTTCCCACCCACCACGGGACACGCTGTCAGGACGTCTGGCTATTTCCTTCCCACAAGGAAAGGCTTCTCTTGGAGAAAACTCCCCCAAGCCCAGCACGGCTCCCCGGGCGAGGGGAGCTCTGCCCGGGGTGTCCCTGACCTCTGCTCCTTCCCTGCTGCTCCCCTGCCCTTTCCCCACCGAGCTGCATCTGCCACTCATTATGCACCGCCGGAATCTGCTTTCCCAGTCAGGGGTCGCTGCCCATCGCAGGGTGCCCGGGCAGCTCCCAGTGCCCACAGGGCTCAGCTCCAGCCCTTACCGGTCTCCTTTCGATCTGCGCTTCTGGAGGCTCTTCCCTTTGGGCCTCCTCTCGCTGCCGATGCAGAAGACGCCCCCGGGGCCGGTCACCCGGATGGACTCCAAACCTTTGGATGATTTCTTGAAGGTGAACTCGACAGCTTCGCCCTCCTTCAGGCTGCGGAAACCCTCCATGTGGAGCTTGCTCTGGGGGGCACAGGGGGAGGATGGGGGTCAGCACAGAGCTGGGGGCTCTCCAGGCACAGCACAAAGCCCTCCTGCGGCACAAGAGCTGCAAATGTCCCCCTCTGCCTGTCCCTCGCTTTTCCTTTTCTGGAAATACAGAAGAATCTCGAGGCTTGGCACAATGGAAGGCACCCAGCTTGTGGCAGGCCCTTAGCAAGGCCAGCAGGCTCACCTCAGTTCAAGCCCTTTAACTGCCTGCAATAATTAATTAAGCAGCCATTTGACACAGGATTATCACTGCTGGGAGCTTCTCCCATTCTTTCCAGGAACACCAAGTCGGTTATCACCACACAATCAAACTAGGGCAGCCAAGAAAAACCCAGGCTGGGGAGGGGGACTGTGAGCTGACAGGAAAACACACTCCACTTTCAGGGACTCTGTCCATTTCAGCAGAACAAATCCCTAAGGAGCAGAGCTGGGTGAGGCAATTCCCAACGCCCCTGTGCCTGGAGCATCCCTGGCTGCTCTGCATCCCGGCCAGCAATTCCAGCTCGGCATTCCCGCAGCTCTGCCAGCGGAGCCAGAACGAGCACGAGCAAGGAATGAAGGGGAATTTGCTGGCAGAGGGAGGAGGAGCAGCTCCTGCCGGCTGGGGATTCCCAACGCCTGCGCGGCTGCAGCACCACCCTGCATTTATGAATGGAGCATCTCCCCCATTCATGGCCCGGAGAGTTCCCGTCACATGGGCCATGTTCTCCCATTCTTCCCGCACCGAGCATCCCTGTGGCCACTGCACGGGACGGGTCTGCTCCATCCCCACCCCAAACCTCAGCAGGAGCCCCCGAGGAAACACCCCATGTAAAAGCAGAGAGGGAAGAAATGGAGTTGTTGGGTTATAGGAGTGGATTTTTCTCGGGATGTCCGTGGGCACGAGAGAAGTGGGAACAGAGCTGAGCTGGAGGAACAGCCCTCGAGACCTCTTTTTCTGCTGCTTTTCCCCTCCCTTCCTGTGCCTGGGGGTCCAGCTCAGGGTGGGACAGACCCCATGTGCTGGCCAAGTCACCCCCATGCCCTGGATCCCCTTGACTGCTGGGATGGGCTCCAGAGTGGCCACACGGGATCCTCCTTTGCTCTCTGACCTGCTCCTGCTGCCTAAAGGGAGAGCCAAACCCTGAGCTCCGAGGTCCCAAACGACAACAAGGACAGGACAGGGTCTCACAGCCACCTCTGCCCACCCAGGGCAGTTCCAGCAGCACCAGCCCCCGGCAAACCCCCACGGTGACCAAACTGCTCCCCACCCCCAGCCCAGCTGCATCCCCCAGGCAGGAACTGTGCCCGAAGCACCAGCACATCCCAGAGGTGCCTCAGTCTCCCACCCTGCCCTGTCCCCAGCGTGAGAGGAGATTTGGGCAACGGGAGCCCCCCCGGTCAGGGAATTTGCCCCATTCCGCGGCAGCCCCAGGGTTTGGGGGTTAAGGAGAGGCTGAGCATCCCTCCCTGGCACAGGAGGCAGCCCTGGAAGCCGCGGGATGAGGCCAACCACCTCCCGTGGCTCCTCTCAGGGCGTTTACAGCCCCAGCTGGCCCAGCTGTGTTTACACTGCGGGGATGAAAACTCCCAGGCGCTCAGCCCCGAGCTCCGGGATAAAGCTGAGCCGTGCCGGGGGGACCCCGACTCGGCTGGGCCCCCCCAGCTCAGCCACACCTCGGGCACCACCGCCCCACTGCCAGAGCCCAGCCCCGTCACCCCCACCCCGAGGAAGAGGAGGGATGAGGCAGAAGCTGCCACAACATGATGGGGAAGCGATTTATTTTCCAGGAGCGGGTGAAGATGACAGCCACCCCCCAGCCCCCTCCGCCAAAAGGCCAAAGGAAACGCCCTCTCCCCAGGGAAGGGTGGGGGGACAGAGGCTGGGGCGCCCCAGCTCTTCCCCCCCCACCCCGCAGCCTTTTGATGTGAGCTGCAGAGTGGCTGGTGGTCCCTGCGCATCCCCCCTGCCCCCTTCCCAAAACACACACATTGCTGGCATTCCTCTGTTATCAGATAGGTAATCAAACTGCAGCCCATTGAATTAGCTGCATACCTCCTGCATCTGAAAGGAAGGGGCCCAGAGCCCCTGTCCCACACCACACACAAAGCCCGAGCCTTCCCAGGCCTCCACAC